TACAGAGATGATGTGGTGAGATTTAACAGTAAAGACATTTGCTGTGGTTGGTGGTGACTGTGCCGGGCATCCCCTTTGGTAGGGTTGGATGGCCCGTATGTGAAATGTTGGCCCCGTCCGCAGGGGGCTTGTGCTGGTCTGGGTGCAGGATGGGGAGTCGGGGAACTAGATGGGTTGGATTGTGGCGGCCCATTCAGATTTCAAAGTTCACCTACTGGGTCATCAGGTGATCACGGGACCGGGCACCATCACTGCCGGTTCCTTGGTCCTGGGATTATTGGATGTGAGTGTTATGTGTGATTGTTCTTACGCCGTTTTCTTTCTTTTTTTTTTGCTTGAAGAGTCTGTATGTTGCAGGTGGGGGCACTAAGGTGGGGAGCCGTGATTGAGACTGTGTATGTTTTTTTCTGCTTAATTGTCAGGTTTGAGTCTGAACTGCTCCCTCTCCCAAGAACATCTCAAGTCTCTGCTAAGTAAGAGACTTGAGAATTTCGAAAACTTTGTGAAATTTGCTCAGTTAAAACTGGTATATAAATGCTTGCATGATAAGGCCCCTAAGGTTTTGAGTGACTGTGTAGTTCCTCTCAGAGCTGTGGGCTCAGTCACAAGAGGAGCCCACAGTGGAAACTGTCAAGTTCCCAGACGCAAAACCTCTTTCGGTCAATCAGCTTTCATTGTACAAGGCACCAAAACATGGAACACATTACCTGCAGCACTGAAGGGAGAGTCAAACTGGGTCCTTTTTAAACATAAACTTAAAGACTTTTTATTGAGAGGTCAGTCGTGTGAACATTAATAACCTAACTGACCTGATTTTATTTCTGTGATGTTTTAATGTGTAATTTGCTCTGTTGTTCTTGTGTACAGTCACTGTGTTTGTGTAAAAGCCTAACTGGGGACAGACATTGAGAATTAGCCTTAGCTAAAATGTTGTAGTGTGTGACATGATGCATGAAACATACTTGTCCCTATCAAATAAACGAATAAATAAATAAATAAGGAGCCCATTCCCCCATCCTGCCCCCCTCTACTGGTTGGTGCTTTGGCCCGCCGTTGCATTTGTTGGTGCTCGGTGTTTGGGGGTGGATGCTCACTGTTGGTTTATTTCTGGCGGCTGCTTCGCAGTAGTCTGACTTAGTCCTACTCAATTCTAGTCAGAATATGAGTCTGATACTGCTCCATAGAGCTGTGATTATGGGGCGTGTTTCGAACGAACCAGGAAAAAAAAGGCCTCTGCACTCAATTGGATAGACCTACAACCAATAAGAGCAACGGAGTGCGTGACGTATGTTAAGCGAGGCATAGTTGTTGTCCACAAAAATCAAAGTGTGCAGTTGCATGCCTAGAAAAAGATGAGCCTTGATCGCGTTTCTCTGTTCCTCTTTTAAAATTAATTTGCTGTCGATATCTTCTAGAACAGACCTAATAGCAGAATCTACACACCTCAACTCTCCAGCGGCAGCCATTGTTGTTGTCACCCATGCGTGCTTTGGTCACGTGGTTGATTATGTTACTGTTGATCATCTGTCCATCATCGTATAAAGCCCGCCCTGACAATTTGATTGGCCCGCCAGATATTGTGCGAGCATACTCGCGCTACTACTGAGCAATGCCAGACTGAATTTCCCGAACTCAAACGTTGTGGGCGGGACTAAGTTCGGAATGGCACCCAGGCTAGCTTCGCAGGGCCTGGGCAGGTTCCACTTTAGGGTGGATGGCTGCTGGCGGAGCCCGCAAGCTCTTCCTCGTGGCTCCTGGGGGCTCAGGCAGTGTGGCAAATGGGGGATTTCCTTGGGGTTTTGGGTCCCCCAGCACTTGCCAGGCGCTCTGGGGGGGGCGGTTCTTTGGCTCTCCACAACCAATATTGAGCATTTTTCCTTTGGATAAACTTTACATGCACAAGTGCACTCTCACAAGAAACTACAGGTGCTTAGTTCCAGGTACTTAGAGATTCACTTACATACAGAAAGCCCATATTCTTATCTTCAGCTACCACAGTATACATGTAAGATTAAATAATACTACTTATACTTCAGCAATAGTATCAAGGTGCTAATTTATCGTATCTGTTATACTATATCCGTTGGTTTTTGCTGAACTTTTTACATCTCTCTTTGCAGGTGATGAAGCAGACTGCGGACGTTTTATCATTGTCTCCCATTTATCTCCTCTTTCTTTCATCTTTTCCCATTGCAATGTCCATATAATCTGTAATACTCCCTGCATGAATTATAATAAATCTATTTATATGCATAAATCAAGCAGAACACTATGGAAAAAGCCATATTGCTCCACTTTTGAAAGCAAAATCTGTTGGGTTCTTTTTGGCATCAAGACAATTATTCTTATAGCCACAGGACACTGTTTAAAAAGAAAAAAGCATTACGCTGCCGTGCGTTATGCATAAGTTAGGCTGTCGTTGGACATAAGTACTGGACTCATTATGAATATGCTATGTATACGACACAAAATTGAAAAAATACATAGAAAGTTCAGCATATGCCGGCGTTTTAGGAGATTGTGGGACGCCAGGCATACGCTGGCAAAATCAGCAAGATGTGACAGAGCCCTTACTATTTGCATAAGCAATCTTTGTAGATAACTCGCAACACACCCACTCACACTGCATGTGCAAAAATCTTTTAAGATCAAGCCATACAGGTGCTGGTCATAAAATTAGAATATCATGAAAAAGTAGATTGATTTCAGTAATTCCATTTAAAAAGTGAAACTTGTATATTATATTCATACATTACATACAAACTCATATATTTCAGATGTTTATTTTGTTTAATTTTGATGATTACAAATGACAACAAATGAAAATCTCAAATTCATCATATCAGAAAATTAGAATATTACTGAAGACCAATAAAAACAAAGGATTTATAGAAATGTTGGCCAACTGAAAAGTATGAACATGAAAAGTATGAGCATGTACAGCACTCAGTATTTAGTTGGGCCTCCTTTGGCCTGTATTACTGCAGCAATGCGGCGTGGCATGGAGTCGATCAGTCTGTGGCACGGCTCAGGTGTTATGATAGCCCAGGTTGCTCTAATAGTGGCTTTTAGCTCTTCTGAATTGTTGGGTCTGGTGTATTGCATCTTCTTCTTCACAATACCATAGAAAATCTATGGGGTTAAGGTCAGGAGAGTTTGCTGGCCAATTAAGAACAGGGATACCATGGTCCTTCAACCAGGTACTGGTAGCTTTGGCACTGTGTGCAGGTGCCAAGTCCTGTTGGAAAATGAAATCTGCATCTCCAAAAAGTTGGTCAGCTGCAGGAAGCATGAAGTGCTCTAAAACTTCCTGGTATGTGGCTGCGTTGACCCTGGACCTCAGAAAACACAATGGACCAACACCAGCAGATGACATGGCACCCCAAACCATCACTGACTGTGGAAACTTTACACTGGACTTCAAGCAACGTGGATGAAGTGCCTCTCTTCTTTTCCTCCAGACTCTGGGACCTTGATTTCCAAAGGAAATGCAAAATTTACTTTCATCAGAGAACATGACTTTGGACCACTCACCAGCAGTCCAGTCCTGTTTCTCTTTAGCCCAGGCAAGACGCTTCTGACGCTGTCTGTGGTTCAAGAGTGGCTTGACACAAGGAATGCGACAGCAGAAACCCATGTCTTTCATACGTCTGTGTGTGGTGGTTCTTGAAGCACTCACTCCAGCTGCAGTCCACTCTTTGTGAATCTCCCCCACATTTTTGAATGGGTTTTGTTTCACAATCCTCTCCAGGGTGCGGTTATCTCTCTTGCTTGTACACTTTTTTCGACCACATCTTTTCCTTCCCTTCGCCTCTCTATTAATGTGCTTGGACACTGAGCTCTGTGAACAGCCAGCCTCTTTAGCGATGACCTTTTGTGTCTTGCCCTCCTTGTGCAAGGTGTCGATGGTCGTCTTTTGGACAACTGTCAAGTCAGCAGTCTTCCCCATGATTGTGTAGCCTATAGAACTAGACTGAAAGACCATTTAAAGGCTTTTGCAGGTGGTTTGAGTTAATTAGCTGATTAGAGTGTGGCACCAGGGGCCATCAATTTTGAACCTTTTCACAATATTCTAATTTTCTGATATGATGAATTTGAGATTTTCATTTGTTGTCATTTGTAATCATCAAAATTAAACAAAATAAACATCTGAAATATATGAGTTTGTATGTAATGTATGAATATAATATACAAGTTTCACTTTTTAAATGGAATTACTGAAATCAATCTACTTTTTCATGATATTCTAATTTTATGACCAGCACCTGTAAGTCACCACTCAGAACATCCCCATCCCTATCACAGTTCCAATAACCACTAACATTATGATCTAGTACTTCAAAGATTTTCTTTATTGTCAAATGAAATCATGTAATCGAGTCCTCTGGTGCTGACTTCAGACTGTGATTCTGACAATTTGCTTTCCACCCTTTACCTAGGAGTATAAACAACAATCCATTCAAAGACAGCAGAGGGAACTTTTGTAATTATTGCTGCAATTATAATCGTCCTTGAACTGCAGCACTGCCTCTCTGGGGTCTGTGGTCCCACTGCTCTCAGGATGGGCACATGGAGGTAAAATGCTAATCAACATCCCAGCTTCATCAACTTATCGGTGACTTGCTTACAGCATAAGAGTCTCTTCACCCCTTTAAACGGGGGCTGCAATCAGAAGAATTTCTTTCCATATTTACCTATAGGGGGACGATATAGAGGGGAATACACCAAAAGTGCCAGCAGGAGCACCGCATGATAGGAATATTAGTTAAAACACATTTCAATTTAGAAAGTAAAACTTGGCAACCTTGAACAAATTAATTAAAATATGGGTGCTTCATTCTTATTTATTGTATTATCTTCATTGTGTTAAGCTTACCCTTAAAGATTCATGGAGACAAAAGATTTCCAAAAGACAGTTTAAACCATTTGACATTAACTTAAAAAATGCAACAGGGTAATAGTTAACAACAAGACTAACAAAATGTGAGTAACTTTCCTACCTCTTCCCACTGGTGGATATAACGAATGAGTCGAGACAGTCGCAGGAGTCGTAGCAAACTGAGGATCTTTGTAAAGCGTACAATCCTCAAAGCTCGTGCTGTCTTGTAGAAATCTGAGTCAATGCGCGTCTCTACTATAAGGAAAATGTAGTCCACAGGGATGGAGGATATGAAATCCACCACAAACCAGCTCCGTAAGTATTTGATTTTGATCTCCTGAGGATCCAGGATGATCTCTGTGTTGTCTTCTTTGACAATGCCTGTCCTGAAGTTGAGAACAAGGTCCATGAGGAAGAATGTATCTGAGACGACATTAAAAACGATCCAGGGGGGTGTGTGCTCATCCTTGAAAAAGGTGATGCCCACAGGGATGATGATGAGGTTGCCGACCATCAGCAGTAACATGGTCAAGTCCCAGTAAAACCTTGAATCAGAAAGACAAAACAGGAATACATAAGGATTACTGAAGACAAACGATACCAAAGTTTAACCTAAACACAAAATCTTCCCTGCATGTAGAACAATATAAACAGTAATGCACATATAAATTAAAGATTTTTCCTTGTTTGCAAGGGTTTACAACCAAACTCATTAAAAATAATTTTCATACTGTTGCTTTTTAAGTTGCATTTATGAGGACACAATAGTGTGCATTTGTTGGCTGTCTCTGTTATCCTTATACAAAATTACAGTAAAAGAGTTGCAAAGGTCAGCTGATGGAAAAATGTAATGAGAAAATACAGGACATTCCTAGAAATAACCAAGCTGCAAAAGATTTAGGACAATAAAGGAGGTTCCCCCTCTTACAAGAACCTGAGACAGTATGAAGCCATAGTTCAAATGAAAACATAATTATGGTTTGGGACAAGGTATCTGTGTGTGATTAAATAGCCCAGTCAAACCAACGACCAGAATCCAATTGTTAATCTATGGCAACTTTGAAAACTGACAATTAACAAATAGTCTCCATCAGATCTGAGTGTGACATGACAGCTTTGTTTTGCCCCACCTCTGCTGCTACCAAAGCCAGCCTGATTGAACACACCTGCCCTCAATCATCTCCTCCTGCGCATTTAAGCAGTCTGTTCCCTTACTCCCATGTCAGTCCATCTTTGTTTCTTCCAGCAAGCTTCCCAGCCCCTTTTTCCAAGCTTTCTAGCCTCTCTTGAATTTTTTTTTAAAACTTTTTTTGCACTCTGCCTCTTCACAGTGTGTTTTGTTACCTCTCCCCTCTTGACTGTTTCTCAGTGCATCGATCTTAAGACTGTCATTAAACTACAGAATTTTGGACACTCTTAAGTTGTCATTTGAGTCCTGCCCGCCCAGATTCCTGTAACACTGAGTGGTAGTTTTGAATAAATGGGAAACAATTTCTGCCTCATGATGTTCAGAGATGTTGTAGAGTCATGCCTCAAAGTACTTTTAGTAGCTGGATTTGCATTGTGAAGTAAAACACACCTCACACTAGAGTCCTGCAACGGGTCGGGTACCCGCGGGTCCCCGACGGGTCACCCGCTAAAATGCTCTTTTGCGGGTGAAAAATACATAAATAATAATAAACGGGTACGCGGGGTCGGGCGGATGTTTTTTTAGTGCGGGCGGGTAGTTGGTGATTTTTTTTTTTATGCGTGTGTGTTGTTATGGACATCAGAAATTTTATATTAATCAGGCACTGGGGTCACCCTTGTTGTAGCTTAAAGCCCTGCCGGCAGTGTGGGCTTCCCTCCAAAAAGGCCACAGTCAGTGTATACACGTCTGCTGCAGTGTTAATGGCGCTGTTCTGCAGCGCAGCGTACTATAGCCTATTACTTGATGTGTTAACGGGTCGGGTTGCGGGTTAAATAACAACGGGTCGGGTCAGGTTCGGATTTGAATTGAAGATATCCGCGGGTGACGGGTTGGGTTCGGTAGTCATCCTAACGGGTTCGGGCAGGTGCGGGTTGGTAAAACTCGACCCGTGCAGGACTCTACCTCACACTTTTAAGAATTGCCTGTGTATAAACATTGGAAGCTGTTCTTCATGAGTTAATCTAATGTATCCTTCCATTATTACTGAATACTTCTACTGCACCCATTCATGAAATGTGTATATTTTAGCATTTGTTATAGATGTTATTTAAATATTGCTACAGTTACAAAGTGCAAAAATGTACATTAAATATGATACTACTGTCATACACGTACTGCTGCCATTCTACTGGACAAAAACTGATAGTATGTGGTTAAACTACTGACAGCTACTAAATTACTCTCCTTTTATTAATGTCACCATTGTTTACTTGTTTATACGTACAGTCCATGGCATAATAATGAAAAACTGGTTGAGTGGCTCACAGTGTATTACTTCTGACTCCCTATTTGTATTCCACCAGCAGTAGTTCAATGTGGGTGGGCATGAGAAGTGTTTGAATTTGGACCATAAAACAGAAATCCTAATTTGATTTAAGACTAAATGCTAATTAAAATAAGACTCATGCTCTTGTCTGTTTTCTGTGTCTGAAAGTTAGAATATAAATAGCTTTTTGCAATGCTGCTAGTGGACTAGTAATTAAATCAAGATATATGATAAATTCTGTGTACAAAATAGACCGGCTCACTGATCTTCTCTGATGCTCTGTTTCAATCTAAACTAGGCAATACACATCTGTTGTCAAAATGAATATGACAAACTAAGTACAGTTTAAAGAAAAAAACAAAGGATCTATGCAACATATGTATCCAGAGGCAAATACAGTACTACATATATCTCCTCTGAAAGGAGCTACAGCTAGGAGGAAGCTTCCCATTTTTTTTCCTCCTTCATTGCTGTGCATCTGATGTGTATTGATTTTTTTCAGTTCATTCAGTGTGTTGAAGTAAATAACTCAGGGGTTTCCATTGAACCGCTGCTGTACATAATCAGAGTGTCACTGAGTAGTGTAGCTCGGAGATGAGGACCCTAATTCCTGCTCAGGCAGACGTTGGGGGATAGAAGCAAATACGCTTTTATTCTTTTCTTGTAAACGGAGCAGAAAATGCTTGTTGTGGCATGTTATCCATCCGAGAACATAAAAATGAGGAAAGGCGGGGTAGCAGGAAGGACATGGCCTAGAAAAAAAACAACAAAAAACATAACAAAGAGCAAGAAATTTAGGTCAGCACTGAATACATCAAAAATGATAATAAATCATGTTTAATACAAATCAAATAATTGGTAATCAGAACTGAAACTACACTTGAAACAAAATGAAAACAAAAGCATGATAATAAAAAAAAATCATGATAAGAAAAAAAAGTTGTGTAAAAAGAAAATGAAGAAAAAACACAGGGAAAGTAAAAAATAAGAAATATATGAACATTGCTCAATCCATTATCCAAAAATAAAATGTACAAAGAAAGTGTTGTCCACAATAAACTGACAGGCAGGACAAAAAGAACATTAAACAGAGAAACAGCCAGGAGGCCCATTTGCAGTTTGCCATATCCGGCGTGGAGGAACTATGTGGAAGAAGATACTTTTGTCAGAATAAAACAGAACTTCAGAACCTTGAAACTCTGTCTGCAGCAGACGACTAACTTTACACAAACTTCCTCACAATGAAATGGTTCCTCAGCAGGGAGAAGGCAGAGAACCAAAGTTAAATGACAAACGATCCAGAGGTATACAGCACCCGAAGGTAGTCTCCCTACCTCCATAGTCACCATCACCTTAGTCAACTGAGACGGATGGAAGAAAACCTTAAGATTGGGTCAATGATTCACCTGCAGTGGTACAATGTTCTCTAATGTATAGCAAGAAATTCAATGGAATGGTTTTTAATAAAAAAAATATTTAGCATATATGTGTAAAAAAAAATCCTTAATGTCCAGACCTAAAGCAAAATCTGCAGGACCAATTTAGAAAATGGCTGATATTAATGATTTTCTACATTTCAGCAAAAATCTAGATCTAGAATTAGCAAAGATTTTAGTGTAGTACAAATTCTAAAAGGAAATACAACGAGGTTTGTTTGTGTGACTTTACTGCATGCAAATGAAGTTAGAAGTATACATACATACATACTTCAACAAGACAGTATACATAATCTACATTTTATAGAAAATATTAAAGATTCAGAGCTTTGTATATCTTTAAAGATTCTTTAACACTGGATGCAATCCTTTTTTATGGAACACTATTTCATTAAACATGCATGTGTTTCACAACTATTATTCTAAAACATATACAGCTTGTGTCACTAGCCACTAAGGTTTCCCAAAAAAATGAACAAAAATTCAACATTAATTTAAGTATGAAAATCTTATATTCCTGACACAGGCTAAAGGCCAGTGTTTTTTGTTTTTTGTAATTGGCCTTTATGCACAAAATGTATCACGAAAACAGGAGTTTTTAAGTGCTTAGATGAAAGTTTTCAAGAAAACCCCTGCCCTGAACAGGGTACACATGGTCTAAACATACATTAAGAACTGAAAACCATCTGAGTCTCATCTACACACAACACACACACACAAATCACACATACACAGATATGCATGAAAAGAGAAAACTGACAGTAATTGGAATTCTTAAAAGTGAGAGGGAATCCACTGTTCCAATGTGTTGTCATGTGCAGTTATATTTAGACAGACCTTGGCACCACTGCGTTTGTTCACATCAAGTCTGAAAACCTAGAGGACAAGTACAATTTCAAAGGAAAAAATGCAAACACGTGTCAAGACATTTTATACATACTGAATTTTTGTTTTTCCTGACTTCTGTGAAATAAATGACAGATCATCATATAATGTTTAGAGTCCAATTCTTGACATAAGTCATTTTTGCTTCATTGCGATATCTGAAGCTGTAAAATCTTCCCCCACTACTGTCACATATCATAAATTAAAATATAATCAAAAAAGAACCATTCGTCAGGGATCTGGTTTTTCCGTTAGCTTGAAGCTTAATCAGCAAAATGAACAGAAAGAAAATGCTTAAAATGAATCTATATCAGTTTCACATCCAACACAATTCATTTTCTAAGATAATTAATTTTTTTGACTATGTGGTGACTCATTGGGATACGGCTGCATTTTATCACATTTATCTTTTTTATCTGTTATACATTTGTGCTAATGAATTTAGAAAGAATAAATCGCTCCGCATTTTCAAAGTGATTTACGACAGAGAAATCAAGCAGTGAAAAAGCATAATATGGACAATGAATGAGTGTTCGGTGGGTGACAGAAAGCAAAACATCCAACATGCTGCAGGGATTTAAACTCTCAATCATCCAACTGGAAAATCATATGTGGCCACATATGTAAAACAGAACATTGCATTAAAAAAAGGCACAAAGAAACAGTAAGTGAACCTTAAAATTACAGATCATGGTAACGTCATGTTGTTGGCATAATGAAGTCTGATAATGAATGTGTTGAAATAGTCTTGTATGTTTTCTGTCCATA